ACCAACCAACCAACCAACCAACCAACCAACCACCCAACCAACCAACCAACCAACCAACCAACCAACCACCCAACCAACCACCCAACCAACCAACCAACCAACCAACCAACCAACCACCCAACCAACCACCCAACCAACCAACCACCCAACCAACCAACCAACCACCCAACCAACCAACCAACCAACCAACCAACCAACCAACCAGTGTCTGTAGAGAGAGATCCCCTCCTTTTACCCACAGTCCTACAGCTTTGAGCCACTCCGGCTGTTGTTGTGGTTCTTCACTGCTCTGAAAACTGGCTCAATATATTTTTAATTTCTCCCAGCGCACCGCCATCATTTGGAAAATCTCATCTTGCTCTTAATAAAAGACGTCATCTGTGATTGCTACACGCTTCAGTACCTCCACACCCCAAACGGTGCCAGCCTAAGTACCACCAAAGAGCAGGTGTAAAGTGGGCAGGAGCACACAAAGCAGAGTGGGTGGAGCTGAACTGAACTGTGTTGGTGCAAAAACTGTTCACAGCTTTATACTGTCAGTGACATTTAGTAAAGTTCTCACAGTTCTTTACATGGCAGGAAGCAGTTAGAGCTGAGTGACAAACTAACTACAGTATATCCATCTGTTAGGGATGTACCATAACTTACTTTAACAACTGATACTGATAAATTTCTCCTTCTAATGGTTGATAACTGATAATAACTGATAACATGCCAGGAGATGAGACGAGTCAAAACTGTGTAAGATCATAACATAAATAAACAAAACCTAATGACTCTATAAATTATATTATTTGAAATAAACTCTTAGCAAACAAACATTTCTTAAAGTTTAAATGGTTTTCATTGACGTCATCATCCGGGACTTTTTTACCCTCCCCTGTTCGTGGGCTAGCATTTAGCATTTAGCATTTAGCTTGTAGTGATAAACCCAGTTTGGGAGAACCACAAATGCAAAGGGATAAAAAATCCAAAAGGCAACTGAAGAACGCAGAGTAACATGACCAGGATAATAATACTTTATATTTAAAACGTGCTTTCAGGACACCCAAAGATCCACTGAATAATAAATCTAAATCAAGATATTTAGTTTTACTGAAAGTAACGCTCCTTACGAGCTGCTGAAGTCTGCAGAGACACACAGGCTGTGTTCACATGACTCTGTGGGACTTCCTCTGATATTATTACTAACTATATCTTACATACTCCAAATGTGTACATACTGCATAATTAGTGATTATAATCTGATACTGTCAGTGTATCCTGTGTTCCTTTTTCCATGGGTAGATTACATAATATTCAAACACTTCTGTTCATAGTGCACAATCTTTTCCTTTTTTAAAGTTAGTTAAGGAGCTGTGCGGTCACTGACCATGGTAGGAGTGATCTGAACTCTGGACTCCAGAGGAGGTGAAATCTTTGTGTTTATCACAGCCACACAATCACATCAGTTTGTTGACACTTCTTAGTGTTTTTAAGAGCGTCTCTCTGCCACACCAGCAGCAGTTTGGTAACTAACTCCAACACAAGCTTGCTCCATGACTGTTAAAACCACTTATAATAGAAACAGACTACATAAACAGTGTAGACTGTACATTTCTGTGCTGTAGACTGTCCTCTCTTCAGCATTCACAACCACAAATCTGGTGATTTGATCACATGRTCTGCAGGTCACCACGTCATTTGAAAACCATCTGGTTGGAAATGGCCATCCTCTTAAATAAGGCACATTAATTATAAAAAGACTGTAAGGCTGATCTCATGTTTAAATGAAAGAGGAAAACTCAGTCCACAAGTTTAAAACAGATAATTCACTGACACAAGTTACAGTTTGTTGTAACACTTCTCACGTCTTTGTCTTAAAAAGTSTAATCTTTGTTTTTTCTCTTGTTGCTGTAGGAAAATGTCTGCTAACATGGGATCTATGCGTATCCTCATTAAAGGAGGGAAGGTGGTGAACGATGACTTCACACAGGAAGCAGATGTTTACATTGAGAATGGCATCATACAACAGGTACACACTTTATGACACACAAASCATCAGGTGTTCTTTTAAATGTTTTCAGGTTCAAACCTGTTGAGCTGTTAGTGTGACTCAAAAGGCTGTAACTACTCTGTGAACAGTTATTATTATTGTTAAATTCAGCTGACAGGATGTTAGCAGAGTGATCCACTCATCTGAACTCCTCCTTAAAATAACAGCTTTGTGTAGTTTTTACTCTTTATTTAAGTTTAATGTTGAGTTTGATCAAAAGGCCAGGAGGACAGTAACCAGCTTTGTAGGTTGTTCCTGTTGTTTGGAAGGTAGTGAGACACAATATGTGTGTCAGTGTTTCCCCTACCATTATACAGGCCCCCCCGGCCCCCCCACCAATGAGACGGCCCGCCCCTCTAAGAATTTCACAGCATGAAGTCATTTTTATTTAAATAAGGCCAGACAAAGTCCAGAGCTATCTTTTGTGTCCCTCCATATCCACCTCTCACCAAACTTGAGGAAAAAGATGGCGCAGAGCGCTGTGTGTGGTCCTCACTAAGATAGGAAGACATGTGTGTGATTAGACACACAGCTCTGCTTTTAATCACGTAGCACCGATGTGACAGCTTTGTGAGCTACTTTTTATTTCTTTAAAAGAAAATGTGACAGGTGAAGCCACAGCATGGTTACCTTATCAATGATTACTGCCTTTTTCTTTCTCTGTGGGTGGGGGGGGGGTCAGCTTCACTCAGCTGCAGCTGAACATGTCCACCTGCAGCTGAACATGTCCACCTACAGCTGAACCTGTCCACCTGCAGCTGAACATGTCCACCTGCAGCTGAACATGTCCCCCCCCCCCAAAAGACCAATTTCTTAGGGGAAACACTGTGTGTCATATCCTGGGACACAAACTCAGCTCCTAAAATCACTACACTTCAGAATTTACAGATAAAAACTAAAAGAAACACAAGTTTTTCATGTAAAAAGCTTCAGAACAGGATGTTTGATGTTTTACTAAGTGACACTCGTTATATAAAGTTTTGGAGATTTGCTTTCATTTCTTGAAGTTTGTATTCACTGTGATACTTGTTAAAGTTGTTTAAGTTGTGCGTTTGTGTTGTGTTAGGTTGGAAAGGAACTGATGATACCTGGTGGGGCTAAGGTGATCGATGCTTCAGGAAAGCTGGTGTTACCTGGTGGAATCGACACCTGTGTGCACCTGCAGCAGACCTTTATGAACGCCAGCATTCAGGAGGATTTCTACACTGGCACTAAGGTACACTAACACACAATGTTGTGTTTTGTCTACGTTTCTGTGAATGAAGACAGGTCAGAAAGAGCTGTCACACACAGACACACACACATGTTTTTACCTTCTTTGTCTTTTTGGTTAAAGCTTCATTGTTTTGAATTGATTTATTGAATAAAAGAATTAACTTGATGTTAATTAATTATTTAACACACACCATTAAAGAGACRTTAAAGAGGACACATCATGTAAAATCCACTGTTTTATTTGTTAAATGCACGTATTGTGTGTCTGTAGGAGTGCACTCACACATGTAAACACAACAGGACCAGGTTTCTTTGTACTGATTTGTTCGTTTATTTCCACTTTATGTTTCCACTGGTCCTGTGGACTCAGGGAAAAGATGATTTAATTAGCAGGAGATTTTAAAAATTCATAAAAGTCTAATTACTGCCTGCAGCAGAGTTTGTGTGTTTTTGTACGATGTTTTGTCCTCTTTGTGTTAATCCTGATTAACATTTAGTTTCTGTTTCAGTAAATCTAACATACACAATTTAAAGAGTTATCATGTACTTTTGTCTAATTTAACACAATTTACATTCATTTTCAAAGCTTTAATTTGATTTGATTTGATT